CATTGAATTTGATAGCCATTCATCATGATCATTTTTACCTAATATGGTTCATTTGGGATATGCCTGAACTCATAATTGTAGACATTTAATATCCTCTATATGTAAAAGCACCCATCAACATAACTTTACACACTTATTCCATCATGCATACATGTAGCGACAGCATGAGCACACGAATATCTCCATGCTTGAAAGCGATCACAATCACACCATTTTTATTGTAAATCAACTCTAAATGTTTGTTGCTCTCATTCTTTCGTTGCAATGTATGCATGTCACAACAAAATATGTCAATTTGGTTGAAGTTATGAACAAGAATTGAGGTTTCCAATCACTTATTTATTTCAATTGCGTACATCATTGTAGGAGTCCAAATTTTACCTTTATTTATCAAAAAACGCAAACCTTAGCCAATCTAAAGTACATCTCTTTCATCACACTCGCTTGGGAGATGATGTGTACCTGTTTGTATTGAATTAATGGGCCTTAGCAAGGTTTGTTGTCATGGTTATGTATTACCGACCATCATGGTATGCTTGCGACCATTTTTCTTGCTTGATTTTCGAAGCCCACTTCTATATATTCTCACTATAAACCTTTAAGTTCTCAACCTTTTATCAAAATTTGATTGACATAGTTCATATCCTATTTTATAATATATATTGTGTTAACATCATCTAAAAAAACACATAAATGAATACACATGTTAAAAATGAAACTTACTCATGCTTACTATCTCACTCCGAATGCAGACCTTATAAAATTTATCGATACTATTCTTACTAATATGATGAATACAATATGTGGGATATGCATGTGAAGGTATCCAATGACTTCCTGGTTGTTCAATTGTCACCAAGATGTTTTTTTCTTGATCGGATATCAAATAGACACCATCTTCTCGAATAACGCACTTACGTAGATTAGTCAAAACGAAATCCTAAGCCTCAGTTGTCTCTCATTAAATAATGACGAATGCAATGGGGAAGATATTTCATTGACCATCTCACCTAACTGTTATCAACAATATATGCTTATATTGACCGTACAACCATGTACTATCTACTTGAATAATACGTTTGCAAAATGAAAATTCTTCTATACATGACTTGAATGCCCAAAAGAGTCTATGAAACATTATCTTCCTTGGAACAAGTTGACCTTTTGGGTTGTATACAGACATGGTTTGAGTCTTCTATATGATTTCCGAGATGAGCCATTGTATCTTATGATGACCCAGGCTTCTTGCCTCTAAATTTTTGACACTCTAATTTTCTACTTACACTCTAGGCCATATTTAGCACACTTCATATATATGATTTTTTGGATAGACTCTGCAACATGAAAATCAACATTACCTTTGATGATATACTCTTTAATCATCAATGTAGCTTCATTTTTCCCACTAAATTGCATCCAAACTGATAACTCACTCGAGTTTTTGAATGATTCAGCCATGTGGTATAGAATTAAATGTGGCATGTCTCAGAATTCATGTGCGCTCATCGCATCATGTTTTTTTCTCGGAATTCTTGTACATGTGAGGGTAGGTATATACGATGTCAAAACTTCATCTATGGTCAAATCAAGTTCACCACCACCACAAAAATTATCATCGTCAGCCAAAATGGGTTCCTATGTTTCTTCATTTTCATTGGAATCATCATGTATTTTTCTCCATCAATTTTCGACGTAAACGTCAACAATCAATTTTGAATGATGTACATTTCTTTTCCCATACCCTGCTACTGTAGATGTCCCACTGACTTCATTTGCACTATCCAATAGCCTCATAAAATTGTATACCGACATGTATGCCAGGTCCTCAAAGTCACTTCCAAAAGTCATTTGAGACAAATTTCCAACCACATTTTTTGATAACCCAAGAATATCAAATATCTTATTCACCTCAACAAATAACTCAAAAATTGCAATATTTGTTGAGTCATGTAATCCAATCATAGTTCCAATATCATCATCTTCTTCAAGTGATAATGTAGCATACCTAACTGGAATAGGACATATCATAAACCTATACATCAAACCATCAATTGTAGCTTGATATTTTCTTTCTATAATATGCTTCATTTTTACAAATGTAATGTTCCTTTTAAACATCATATTTATCGGTTTTTCAGATTGAAAACAACTCTGACCTTATTTTTCATAATCTGTCATTTATAATGGACAATCATGAAAAAAATTTGCTTATTTTCTCTACATATTAAATATTTTATTTATAATAAAGAAATACAAATACTTAAATTATTATAATATGATATATAACAAGATAATAATAAATCATAAAATGATATTATAAAAATATTGCAAAAATAACATTTACATTAGATTAACAATAAATCATAAAATACAACTATAAATATTATAAAAATGATATTAACATGATAATAAATCGTAAAACACTTCAATTAAAATTTCTTCACACTTACTTGATCGTTTCTTCCAACAACTTGATTTAAAAAAAATCTTTCGACCACTCTTTTATCTGAATCATTTTAATATATTTGAAAATAATATTTAATAGAATAATATGTGATAAAATATAAAAAATTATATAAATTTGTCGTATAATATTTACTCAGAATAACAGAAAAAGACGCATCAAGGTTTTTGAAATATTCCCTCTATCATTCTTCTGTTTTCTTTTTCCGCAGATAGTCGCTCTAGTAAATACTCTTTGTTTCAATTTTCTATTTTTTTATTTTATTTTATGATGTTCATTCCCATATATATATATGTATACAGTTGACCTTTTTTTTTAATGTTCAAGTTGGTTAAGTAGGTTGGCAGGTTATAAGAACTTAGATTACATGGGAAAGGCCAATTAACATAGGTTGACAGGTCACATGAATCAAATTTTCCCGGTCAATTACATGTATGCAAACTTCTTAATAAAGTACCTGATTGATCTCTCGTTAGTGAAAATCAGATGAGAAGACGTATTGTAATCTTGACTGATTTCTCGTTAGTGAATGTCAGAAAACGTATTGTGATCCTGACCTCATCCCGTAAGACTAAAAATATATTATTTTTCATACACATTGTGATCTCGACGTCACCCCGTGAGATTGAAGATATATTACCTTTCATACGTTTTACCTGGCTTGAACTGTGGCTTGAACTGGAGATATCTTTCATACATTTTACCTGGCTTGAACTGGAGATATCTTTCATACATTTTACCTGGCTTGAACTGGAGATATATTATCTTCCCAGCGTATTTTCTATGCGGCCGAACTCCTATGCGTCTTCCACTTGGTATGTAATAATCATCATATTTGATGAAATAATATTTTGGGTACATTATTTTATAAAATAAAAAAAGTACAGATAATTATCTCAACAATTTTGCCGTATATAAACATGAATCTATTAATTAATTGCTTCTGTCGATACTCTTTGAAAATTTATTATAGGATTAATTATATGGAAAATCACTTACATTTATAGTTTTATCTTTTTTTAGTCATTAATTTAAAAAAACATAAGATATGATCACTTTCGTTTTTATTTAATTAAGATGTGGTCACCTCGAGTTAACTGTCGTTAACAATAGTTAATATTTTTTATATAATCACATATTTAGTCCTTACTATTTGCATATTCTCTCAATTTAGTTATACTTTTAATAAATTAAAATAAATTTAATCCTTCAACCGAATGACGTCACATGTCATGCCATGCATGAGTGAGTGTTCGATTGAGCCAAGTGGATTCGAGTAAAAAAATGCGAGTTGTTCGAGTTGAAGCGTCCTATTTTACAACTCGAAGTTGACTTGAATTTTTTAGAGTCGAGTCGAATCAAATTTTTGAGTTTCTGTTTAAATTTAATTATAAATATTTATAATATTATGATATTACTTGATTCCAATTTAAATGATCTTTTATAACCATATACAAAACCTATGCAGTTCTTCATTATTTTTTCAAACAATCCACTAATTTCTAAAATTTTCTAGTTATTCGAATGGTATTTTAGCACTCGATTTGAACTTGAATTTTTTTTGAGTCGAGTTTATGAAATTATAACTCAAAGTTAATTCGAGTCAAGCTTTCAAGAATTGAGTCAAAAAAATTGATTCTTTAAGTCGAGTCAAATTTTTTGCTCACCTCTAATGTCACGTGTCACCATTTGGTTGAACTTTATTTTTAATTTAATATATTTATTTTCATCAATCAAATAGTGACATGGGTCATATTTGATTAAAAGAAAATAAAAGAAAACAAATTGGAAGAATATTTTATTTAAAAATATTTTATTTTTATTTAAAAATATATATTTTATGTCAAACTTTATTTAAAAGTACAATTAAATTAAATTAAGAGAATATGTAATAATAAGGATCAAATGTGTGATTATACCAACTATCACGTCACATATCATGTTTATTATTAACAACAATTAACCTATAATCACATCTTAATTAAATAAAAATAAGAGTAATCAATTTTTTTTTAAATCATTGAGAAAAAGTGGATAAAAAATGATTTTTCAACTCTTATTATAATGAGAGAATTATGTGTTAAAGACATAAGAAAAATACTATAATGTATTACTATTATTCTACCAAACTTTATAATTATAGTAAATTTTATAGTGAATTTCAATGAAATCAATTAGATTGAATCATATTACACTGAACATAATTTAACTCGATAATTTAAAAATGATATGAAATTTTAAGTTATCTAAAATCAAAACCAAAATGTCCATTTGTAATTTACATGAAACTTTTTCTCGAAATCTTTTATTCTCGGCAATAGAATGACATTTTCGTATTAATCTGGGTAATTTATTGATTAATTAAATTGAGAAACTAAATTAACTTTAGTAGTTAATAATTAAATGGAAGAAAATATTATTTAACTAATATTATTAATAACTGAACCACATATAATCTCTATAAAAAAACACCAAAATCTAGCTGCTTCATCAACATAGAAAACTAAAAAAGAACAGCGAAAATCTCAGCACTTTGTTATCCAACTAATACATAAATAGCGTAAATAATTCCTGGAATATAACCCAATAATGTCAACACCAAACATATCCAGAATTCCGCCTGCAAATCCCCGCAAGTTTCATTATGTTAGAATTTGAAAGAAAAAAATATTGAAACTTAAAAGTCTGGCACATAAATGGTCTCTGATTTTCAGAGATTGTTTTATCGAATCAGTCTATTACTAACATTATAAAATAATCTCAGACTATATATCATTGTTTTTTGTTTTCAATATCGACTATTAAAAATTATAAAATAATAATTCGACTATTTATATATTATAATTTTTTTTAAAATACTCAAAAGTTGGATGCTAATTTGATGACCGATATATAATACAATATGATCTCAAAATTTTAAATGGTTGTACAAATCAAACGGTTCTAAAATCATATTTTGTGATATCCGAGTCAATAAATCAATGTTCAGCTGAAGTAATAGTCAATATTTTAGTAAAAATAGACAAATTTAAAATATATAAATAATTGAGTGATTATTTTGTAGTTTTTTAATAATTAGAACACTTAATAAAATAACATCTTATAATCTTCTAAGATTTAATAAAAGAAAGAATAAAAGATTACTTGTATATTTTATCTTATATTTCTAAATCTTCTAACTGTGAAAATAATAACAGCGTGAAAATAATAACAGCGTAGGCATAAAGATGAATGAAAAGAGAAGTGAATTACCCCACAGCCATAACGAAGGAAGACTCCAACGGGAGGAAGGAGAACAGCAAGAATCACTTCAAGGAAAGTCTCTGAACCCATTTCCAAAAGTAACCCCAAACTTCTCCATTTGTTCCTTTAAAATAGCAGGCTCTAAGGACAGGTGTCCCCAATATCAATGCAGGATCTCAACGTGGCAATGTGACTGACACGTACCCAGCTTTACTTTTACTCGTGATGACTTAATATAATACTTGCAATCTGTTTTCATTCGATCCCTCAATTTCCTGAGTTTTGTTAGATTCGTATTTGGATTATATTCATAAATTTTAAAATTAGGCCAAGTAGTGTAAAGAAATATTGGGATATTTTTTTTTCAAAAGTTGTTGAGTTTGAATAATTATTTTTATATAATTTATATAAATTATTAATGATTAAAAAACTTTTTTAATAAATATTATATTTTTAATTATCTAATACTAATAACAAAAAGATATTTACATTAGATAATATTATTTATATGAAAATGAGTGAAAAAATTATTTAAGATACCGTTGTTTATTAATAATTAAAATTTTAATATATATCTCGTGATACAAGCTAAACAAATAATAATTCAATTTAAAAAATGCTGTTACTTTAATGTAGTAACTAATATTGTTATAATCACATTTTTTCCACTTTCATACTATTGAAACAGTCATTAAATTAAATAATTTTTTATTTGAAAAAGTATATATTCAATTTTTTAAATACTTAATTTTGATATAAAATCATCATTGATAATTTGAAGTAGTGTATGATTAAACATCTATAAAATCTCCTTTTAAAAGAAATATTTTAAAATATATATATTTTTAAAGATATTTTTCAACTTTGCACTTAGAAATCAGAGAACAAAAATAAATAAGTTTTGAAGTCGATTATGTTTAAGGAAGGACTAGCACCCAACAACTTTATTCTTCCTTTTTCTTAGCCTTCATTTAGCTCTTATTTTCTTCTTATTCTCTTAAGAAAAAAAAAATCAAAGGCTCCATCTTTCTTTCGTTCTTCTCCAATATGAAAATCAAGAGGTAAGAATCATGATCTATGGATCATGAGCTCTATTAAAAAGTTTACTCTATTCTCTAATGGTGGTTTTGAGCTTGATGGAAGCTTTGCGAGGATTTAAGCTCTAAGAGCTTCCTCTATGATGTGATAATGGTTTCACAAGACCCAAAGAAACTTTCTTTTGGCCCAACCACTTGTGCTAGAGCCAAACACTTTAGGGATACTGATCGCTAGTGAGACGTCACCGCAATTGGTGCAAGTATACACCTATTGAATGTAAGAATAGCGATAGTCTATCAATTAAAGATATTGATTCCACAGGGAACAATAATGAAGATCTATTGCTGTTGCTGGTGCAATTTCTGTTAAGGAAAAAATGAAGTGATTAAATTATGGGTGTAAAAAAATGTGGAGACAATAGACTAAAAGTAAAGAAATTTAAATAAATGGATAAAAACGAACATTCATCAGACTCTTGTCAACTGATACACATAAGAAAGAAAATTAAAGTATTTATCACTGAAATTAAGAACATGCAGATATATGAAGCATAACAATTGTTTGTTATTGTCGAGAATCAATAAATTATCATTCCCATCTAGGCTCTATACCTAGCTAGTCTATTGCACCCATAATCCTACTAAACTTCCGTTGTGGTATTAAGCAACTTCCACTGACAAAGACTGTGATAAGATATGTCACCGGAATGACATTTCTGTGTCTATCACTTTTCAAAATCAACAGATTAAGCACACACACAAAAAAAAAAAAGACTTCATAGATTACAAATTTAAAGGTTTTAGGAACTTTCGTTCTCATAAATACAAACACATAATAATAAAAACAAAGAGAGTTTAAGCATAAACCAAATGTAGCAACAAATATTCCTATTTTGTAGCTAAGAGATAATTCTTGCCTGCTCCATGTGATGTCTCTACTTCCGCAATTGGCGACAATTGATCTCAATCACCAGAATGTTTTGGAGAAGGTCTAGCACACCATGGCCATGACTTCTAGGCGATGGAGAAGATGATCAGGGCAGAGAGGATCTAAGGATAAAAGAAAAGAAGGCTCATCGATCAAATAGGTACTTTTATTTTATAAGCTGACCAAGGTACAATTGTCCTTCATGCACAAAACGTGATCCTTCGTACAACCTTCTAGAATAAGGGCCAACTCAGCATAACGGCCTGGCTTCTAGAATTTTATCTTTGTCACACCTTAAATTTTAGGGGTTAAATTTAATTGAATAGGAATTTTCAAAACTTTTGCAACTTTTCAAAAGTTAAGGGATGACGCTTCGAATAATGTAACAACAATCAGTGCAAGTATACACTATCATATCAAGTAATAAAGTGATCAAAATGAATAAAATTGAAATTTTGATGACCAGAGTATAAATTTGAAAAAATGTTTAGGGACCAAAATAGTAATCCTCCCAAAATAGGTATTTTTATCCCATGAATGGATAGTTTACCCCCAAGAATGATGTTTTGGTGTTACTTAGAGGTGGCAAATGGGTCATTCGAATTGAGTTTGAGTCGGGTCATTTCAGATCTAAATTATATTTGGTTTAATTTTATTTGGGTCGAATTGGGTTTGGTTCAGATTTAGTTCAGGTGTATGGTAAATTGGGTCGGGTTGGGTAGCGAGTTGGGTCAATGTTCGGGTCAGGTGACTATTGGATCAGTTAGTTTTTTTATTCATATCAATATTAGTTCGGTTGATTTTTGGGATGGGTTATACTAGATCGATTAGATTTTGGGTTGGGTTAATATCGAATCGGTTGATTTTAAGATTGGGTTAATATCGGATCGATTGAATTTTGATTTGGGTCAACCTTTGGATCTAGTCAGTTCAGATTGAATTGATTATGAGTCTAATCAAGTATATATAGAATTATTGATATATTCTTGTAAAAATATGTCTTCTTGTTTGTTAATCTTATCATTTAGGCTTAATTCGATTATGAGTCTATTAAAGTATATATAGATTTTCGGTTCATATTGCTTTCAATTTGGATTAATTTTGGATCGTGTTAAATTTGGTTCAGATTGCTTTCCGATTTGGGTTAAATTCAGTTCGAGTTGATTAAGTTTGGGTAATTTTCGGTTCGGGTTAATTTCAGTTCGAGTTGTTTTCGATTCGATTCAAATTGGATATTGGTCCATATTGGGTTAGCTAAATTTTGGATTCGTTATGGTTCGGGTTTCAGATCAGATTTGATCATCATGTTTGGGTTAATTTTGGGTATTGGGTCGGGTAAATCAATTCAAGTAATCGGGTTCGGGTCAAGTTTTCTAGGTGTAGTGTTACTCGGAGTTTTGGTATGAAATTTGTTTTAAAGGCTATAAAGTCTTAAAGTTCAAGAAAAATTTGAATAATTGGATCGGATAAAAAATCCGAGATATTTTGTTAGATGATAAAACAAGAGAAAAATGTTATGGCAATGCTTTAAAATGATAAGATTTAATATGAACCATTAGATTTAAGTTGATGTTCCATATTAAATCTAAGTCGTTGGATGAAAATGGAAGAACAATAAATATGAAATGTAACACTCGCTTTTCTTATCCGCCGCCGAACACGAGTCAGAAATGTCACATAAAACTTATGGAACTTTCCTTATTGAAAATCAATAAAAATTTATTTCTTTAAAAATATTATTGTTGAACAATAAACCATATTCCATTTAATCGCATAAAATAACTTTCTAATTATTCGACATTCAAACTAAGTCCATTTTAAGGTAGCAACCTAGTAGTTCATAACTAAAAAGTGTAACCATTACAACTACCTAAAAAACTGTTTATAACTTATTTCAAACTATGTCTGAGCAAAGTTTATACCAAATACTTATAACATATACATGCCAACAAGAAGAATAAAATAAATTAAATGAATTTCATTACTGATACTATAGGCTTGCTTCTCGATAGATAAAATGCCAAGCACTCTTTACTTTGATATTTTCTCATTACCTACACGTGAAAATCATTACACGCTAAGTATACACCTAGTGAGGCATAATCAATAATACAAAGCAAAACATATCGATGATATAAAACAAATCATATAATGAACATATAAAATGAACTTATTCCAAAGTAATTTCCATTTCAAAGATTCATGAAATCATCAAGTCATATATAAAGCATTTTATGCTAAATCATTTATATTTAATGGAAAGTTTAACTTTGCCACTTATCTGTCATAACATGCACTTTTCAAAATTTCTTTATGTCATAGCCCAGGGTAAATAAATGAGAATGCAAGGTATGCGAGTCACACGAGTATGCATAATTTGCACTTTTAGTGACAATCACTTGTATAAATACCATCAACATTGTATCAATGTACCAATAAATAGGAACACCATAATACCACAAACACTCTTCTATGTATTATATTCCCAAGAGTATAATAGTACCATAAACACTCTACTATGTACTCAATGCAATTGCTAATACTCCAACTCTATGACATTCGAACTATACAAAGGACTCTCTATGTACATACAATGCACATTTCCATTAATTACCATTTGTTCTCTAATCATCAAAGATAACAATATATTGCACATTTCATATAATAGCATAATGGGTAGTTCATACACTAAATATTTCATTTCCATATAACATGTGTTGAGTTAACCGATTGACGGAATCGGCCAAGAGGGGGGTGAATTGGCAATTAAAATTTTGTGGAAGCTTTTGCAGAAAATTGAAAGTAATTGCACAGCGATTTAGAGTGGTTCAACTTTATCAACCAAAGTCTACGTCCATTACCTTAGCTATCCACACTAAGGATTTTCCAACAAATTCACTAATTTGTTCTTTCTTTTGAGGCCAAAGAGATAACCTTACAACTCCCTCAAGAATATACCCCAATTCTTGAGAACAATCTTTTCTCAAAGAGAAGATTACAAATTTGCAAACTTACAAGAAAAATCTCACAAGGAAAATATGTTTGCACAGTTCTAGAACAAAGAAATAACACTCAAGAATAAATACAATTGAGCACAATAAGTGTTCTTGAAAGCAAAATGAATA